AGTGGGGGTGCGCGGGGAGGAGGACCCGGGCCGGGAGAGGACTCGGGGGTCGCCGAGAGACTATGGGGAAGGACCAGGAGCTCCTGGAAGCTGCTCGCACTGGAAATGTGGCTCTGGTGGAGAAACTCCTGTCTGGCAGGAAAGGAGGGATCCTGGGCGGTGGATCCGGACCCCTGCCCCTGTCTAATCTGCTGAGGTAAGGACGGCACTGCTCGGGGGTGGCGGGCACACCCCGTCGTGCACTGTGATGGATACGTCCTCCTCCTCCTCTTCCTCCTCCTCTTCCTCCTTCTCTTCCTCCTTCTCTTCCTCCTTCTCTTCCTCCTTGTCCTCCTCCTCCTCACGGTTACCGCACCTGGTGGCTGCCAGCGATTCATTCTTAAATTAGGAGGAAAACAGGCTGTGTGTGGAGGGGCAGCATGAGCGTCCCCGTCGGATGGATGCCTTATCTTTGAGTAATTTTAAAATAGCCTTCTATCAATGCGTCAACCAGCTACTTTTCTCCGAGCTGTGGTGCAGAACTTGTGCATGCACTAGTGTGGCTTGAAGAAAACAGTCGTTCCACCCGCTTTCCATCCCTGTTACAAATTTGCAGCCTCAAAGCCAGCCCCCCCCCCCGGGCTATTTAAATGAAATTGGCAGAGAAGCTACTGTATTGCGTGCACGTGATTACTCTGCCAAAGCCACAGCCTTCGGTTGCTGCTACCTTTTCTTGCAGAAGGCGTTTGCTGTGCTGTGGGTTTTGATCCCACAGAATGAAGAAAGAAAATAGACCTTCTGAGATGTGGTCAGTACAGGGAGCGTAAAACTTGCGGAGGGAGCCCCAGCAGTAGTTTGAATTTCCTGGGCACTGCTCAGTGAAACTTGGTTGTTATACCTCACGACGCAGGATGCCAGGTCGGGATTGGAATAGTGTGTATGGAACACAGTAGAGGGCTTGTCATGTGAAGATGTTTCAGGTGACACGAATATTGCACGCAGGATCTTTCTAGGATGACATTTTAAAAAAAGTCAGGGTCTTTATTTAGCAAGCAGCACCTTGGGAATAGAAGTGTTGATTTGTATACTCTGAAAAGTTAAATTGATGGACAGACGATAACAGCTGGGAGGAAGGAAGCCTGAGAGGAGCAGTCACTGGTTTCTGAAACTGGTTCATCAAGGTTTTGGAGGCATCAGCCAACATTTATCTTCCCCTTAAAACCTCACTTAGGCCGTCTGGGTACACTTCTAAAATTAAAAAAAGCCCTAGTGGTTTTCTCGGTTTTGAAAAATAATTCTGCTCTGTTCTTGGAAAGAGCTTAGTACAAACTTTTGAGTGATGATACTTTGTTCTTTACATAGATTCTGTGGATGTAGTGATCAGACAGTGCATTTAAGTATAGTACAGGGAAAATGAAGTTTACATTACAATGAGATAAATTATTTGGAAAATGGTTGATTGAGTTTTAAAAAGCCCCGTATCTTATCATATATGTTCTCTGACAGTGACATTTTATTGGAATAACAGCTCACTTTAGAACAATTAATATTTGAGACTTTTTCAAAAAATTGAACTTAAAATGATGCCTTTGTATGCTCTTGTTAAATATTCTTACTTTCAAACCCAAGTAGGCAATGTATACAATTTATACTACATCTAAATAATTGCCCTTAGCCACCAGTAATTTATAGAAAAGAAGTTTATCTAGTTACAGTTTAAGTTACAGGTGAAATAAATACATTTGCCAGGGGATCCACTAGTTGTAAAAATGATTGTGGTTGCTAGAAACCTCTAAGTTGAAAAGTTTCTCAAAATACACGGTTCCTTTGGAAAAATACTAAAGAATTCTTTGAGAACAGTGAGCACTCAGTTAATTTCATTGAGAGGAATGATATTTTGAAAACAGTCTGTGACAGAACTCAAAGCCAAGCGTCTTTTAAACACTCTGTTGTACCATTTATAATAAAAGAAAAAATGTCAAATCTTAGAAATAAAATGTCAATTACTTAATGTTAGTAAACAGTAGAGTACCAAAACTGACCCACAATGTACACCTCTTTAGTGGTTTTGTTAGAGGCAGCAGTAATACTGTACAAAAGGAATGTGTGTGGAAAGCAGTCGACTAAAAGAGTTTGAACAAAGTTGTAACAGCCAGAAAACCCTTAACCTTTAAATTTGCATTTATCTCACACTGCTTAAACAGCTAACACAGTATCTTTGAAGAAATAACAATTGAATTGTATTCTCTGGTCAAATCTGCATAAAGTGAAATTTCTAAGAAGGCATATTTTTTAAGCTGTCATTTTATTTCACAAATGAATGTCACCAGAAATTTTTATCATAATGGAAAATGTGCTCCCCTCACCCATCTGACATAATGATGCTGAAAATTTTAATATTTTAGAGTGAATTGTGGGATACATTGGGTACTTTTTCCCATTTGCTTTATTACTTGTGTGGTATAGTAGTAGTGTTAGACCCTGTGCTAAATGCTTATATGTATCATCTGATTCAGTTCTTACATCAGCCTTAAGAGGTCGAGCCTCATTTCACGAATGAAAGACTAGAGAGATAGAAAGATTAATAACCTGCTCAAGGTTACTTAATTAGTAATGCTAAGGATTTGAAATTCAGTGATTCGAGTTTGCTTTACCAGATCTTAAGTCTTATTCATGAATCTGTTTTAGTCATGAAAGTTTAAGGTATGTGGCCAAGTTGGATAGTCCAATTTGAACATTTTTTCTGGGAATAATAGTGGAATTTAAAAAGCATTAATTTTTCTATTAAAAATATCTCGACTGTGCTTTTGAGAGTTTCACAGATACGAACTTTTCAGAAGAGGCTCTTGGTTACTTATTATCTACTAGGTGAGCAGGAGCTGTATGACTGGGAATCAGGTATGCTTGCGTGATATTGCAATTTTCAATAAAAGTAAGAATGACCTTAAATAAGCACAAAACTGTCTCCAAGCCCTTTCTGTAGGGTGGAAATATAGTAGTACCTGCTGCGTAGGGTTGTTGTAAGGATTAAATGAGGTATAAAGTCATAAGTGCAAGGCATTGAGCACATAGGTGTTCATCATTGGTGTTACTATTTCTTGTGTAGCTCTAAAGCACGTGGGATTCTGATTCAATTTGTAAAGGCCTTAATTACTTAAGATTTGTTTTATATTAGACTGGGACTAAATTTCTTTAATAAGTTTTTCATTAGAATCATGGAATCTCCGAAGAGAAATGGGCCTTCAGTCCAACTTCTCAATGTGGGAATTCCATCTCTTTCCAGTTAGCTATTTGAGCCCTTGCTAAATTTTCCGACTAGATCCATTTCATTTTTTTGGTACATGTAGTTATTATTTTTTATATTTTCTTGTTATTGAGTTGAAAATTGCCTTTCTGTAACTTCTAGGAATTGGTACTAGGTTGGCTATAAGGGTTAATATAGAGTTGTCACATTCATCTGCAAGGATGGTTCTTTGGGGGAACTTTGGCATGAAGGTCCTAATTTTTCCCACAGGAAGAACTATCATTTTCCTTAACTGTTATGTGGTAGTAGGGCATAGGTGTTAAGACGTCAAGTTTTCATATTTTTTTGCCACTCATTTTTTCCTTCTTTGCCTATTCTCAAACTTTGCAGTGACCTTCTTAAAATAAAACTAATGAAGAATGAACAGTCTGCATTAGATGCCAGTTGGCTAGTGATGGACATAATGGGGCTTGATATACTATTGAATAATTATAATTAAAATCACAACAGATTGCAAAAGATCATTTATAATATGATCCTATTTTATAAGAAAAAGTGTGAATTTAGAATGTACATTTATTTATTTATTTATTTATTTATTTTTGTTTTTTGAGACAGAGTCTCACTATGTAGTTGAGACTGACCTGGAACTCACTATTTAGGCCCAGGCTGGTCTCGAATAATTCACAGTGATCCTCCTGCCTCAGCCTCTCGAGTGCTGGGATTACAGGAGTGCGCCACCACACCTGGTTTAGAATGTGCATTTATAGTGTACATTAAGGACTCTGGAATGACAAAACAAACTGGAAATCATGTTCACCTTTCAGGGGTAGGATTGTGGTGATCTTTTTTTTTCCTTACCTGCATTTTCCACAACAAACATAGGTAATTAAAACAAAATGGTAGCTATTAAAACATAATACAATGAAATTACTGTCTCATTATTGATTTGAGGCCTCCCTATGGTCAAGATTTTCTGAGCCCTGAAATGATGTTGGCTCACATTGATCATATGGTCAATTAAAACTTTCAGGTATTTTTTTTTTTCAGTGATCTGTGAAGCCATAATTCTCCCATTTGGTACTTGTAGAGTCTTCACTGAACGTAAGACATTCCTGTTACATTTAGTCTTATTTGTTTTATTTGTTGTATTTGTAATCTGTGTAATTTTTTTAACTCTTGAATCTGTCTTTCAGCATATTAACTTCTGTTCTCTGCACCATCTGTAGATTAAGTAAGCATGTTTCCTGTAAGTAGAGTTGAACACACATAATACATCCCCGAAGAATCTCCGTTCAGTTTAATATCAGTTTAAAAGTGACAGTGACAGTCTTTATACATAGCATTTCTTCCTGCCTTAGAACCACTTAAAAGAACCATCAGTCAGCTGCTTCTCTCCACAGCTGTGAGAACATCGTGAGGTATTTTGTCCATTTCCCTTCTTAAATTTGTGCTGTGTCCTGTTTGTTGTATTCTTTTGATCTATCTCTTTAGTAGTAAGTCTATAAATTCCACCAAAACCATGCTGTCTTATTATTGTTTGTTTCTGGTAGTGAGCCATTGGTAATTCCTAGTTTTGATGAAAATTCCTTCTATCCTCTTGCCGCTAATTCTTCTGGGTCTGGATGGACACTTAACATTCACTTAGAGCAGCAGCTAAGTGTCTCTTACGATCACTCTGTTTGGAGTTTCAATATTCTTATTTGTTTTTCCTTTCTGGTTTGAAAATAATTTATAATAAGGAAGACAGAAGCAAACTCCGATTCTTAGCATTGTTAGCATAGGAAATTCTGCTATGGTTTGAAGTCATTTGTAATTTTACATTGTCAGACCTTAAGGTTACATTAATGAACTATTATTCTTCCATTTTTTTTTCAAACTTCGTGTAGATGTTTAGCATTTTTTTTGTGTTTGTTTTTAGTTATGCCCCTCACCAGCCCTTTTTGCCTTTAAGGAAACCAGAACTCATCAGT